CCATGCTCACACCGCCCGCCCACCCCCCTGGCACCTCCCTGGGTGCTCTCTGCAGTGAGTTCCTACCCCAGACCTGTCTAAGGCTGTGCCCCGGGATCCCACCCACTCTTGCTGCTCAAGAACATCACTGCCGCCCCACTCTCCGCTCTCTCTGTGCCATCGACAGGCCCTCTCCCAGGATCATTCCCGATCCCTGAGCAAATGTGACCGGACCCCCACTTACCCCTGCCAACAAAGGCTGCAGCTCTGGGGGGGCCTCCTGACCCCCATCTTCTTCAGCGGGGCCCATCCTCTGCCTCCCTTTGAGGCCACCCTCCTCCAAAGAGTTGTCTAGACCCACTGAGTCCCAGGTCTTTCCAATTATTCTGAACCCACGCCCCTGGGCTTCTGCTGCCCCCATCAGGCCCCCCAGACTGCTCCTGCCCAGGGCACCAAAGCCCTCCCTGCTGCTAAATCCAACGTTCAGTCTCCCATCTTGACCGTGGGCAGCACCCAACGCAGACTGACCACCGCGTCCTCAGGAAGCACCTCCGTCTCCTGGCTTCCAGCCACCACACTCTCCCCTCTCCTTGTGTCTCCCCCCTCCCCTTGTGTCTCCCCCAGCTCACCTTTTCTGTCTCCCTGTTTGCGCCCTTCTTTTGTCTCCAACTTGAAGGATGCCTGGGGGTTCATCCTTGATTCTCCACTCTGGTATATCCTGATCCAGGGGCGGAGACCCAGCCTAGCCTGAGGCTGCGCACCGGTAACTCTCACACGCTCACCAGCCCCACCCGCCCCTAAGCTCCAGGCCTGCAGGTGCACCTGGCTCTCCACAGGTCCTTAGAGAAAGGTGTCTTCCACCCCCACTGTTCTAAACCAAATTCCTGCCCTGCCCCCAAACACGGCTCCTGTTCATCCCCACATCCCGCTTCACTAAATGAGAGCTCCCAGAGGCTCCAACTGAGCAACTGGGAGGTATGTTCCTTTACCTTCTTTACCACCTTTCCTTCCCCACCAGTGCCTCTAATCCACCAGCAAATGCTGTCGGCTTCATCTTTAAATAGAATGTGAATCTGGCCAAGGCTAACACCACCCTGGTGCAAACCACTTCCTATCACTTGAATATTCCAGAAGCCTCCTACCTGGTCTCTGTTTCCAAGACTACCATCCTCCCCGCAACCCAATCTATCCACAACCCAGCAGCTAGAGGAAGCCTTTCAAAGCAGATGTCACGATATGTCACTCCGTTGCTCATAACTGCACATTTTCCCCACTCGCGGTGACATCCAAATTCCTTAAATTCCTCTTAAACACTGCTGCCTGTCACCTTGCTCTACTGGTCTCTGCCTCCCACCCTCACAGACTCTCCCCCATGTACACTGGGTAACTGCCTAGTCATACAACACTCCAAGCCTGTGCCTGCCCCAGGGCCTTTGCACCTGCTGTTGCCTTTACCTAAATTCCTCTTTCCCCAGAATGTGCATGGCTCCCTCCCTCACTTCCTTCGAGTTTCTGCCCCAAAGTCACCTTTTCCATGAGGCCTCCCCTCTCTCCTCTATTTGAAATTGTACCCCCACCCCAGCCCTTCTGGCCTCCTTATCTCCCTGCCCTGCTGTATTTGTCTATGTGAAGTTTGCTCTGTTTGACACATGACGTATTTTATTTAGTCTCGTCACGTGTGTCCCCCTGACCCTGGACAGAGCCCCACACATGGTGACCACTTACTGACATTTGCTGAATGAGTGACTCTCCCTCACCTTGGGCTAACCACGTTCTCTCCTGGCAGGGACCCTCCAAAGCCAGTACCTTGTGACCTCAGTAACGACACGGCCTTGTTAGACCACCCTTGTTCCGGCTGTGTGTCCAGAAGATGTGTCATTCCCTACAAGCTTTTCGTTATTGCTGACAGAGACTACTTCTCATTCCAACCGGACCGGCCTCTGGGCACCCAGCTCACCATCACTCTGACCCAGCATGGTAAGGCCTGGGATCCCCGGATGGAGGTGGCCCCTCGGCAGGTGGCCAGCCTGCAGAAGGGCCTGGGAGCGAGAGTCTTCACTGGCTTGGGGGTGGGTTTGGTCTCTTGAGAGAAGAGGCTACAGTCGTCCTGTGATGGAGGCATTGAGCAATAATGTGAGGAGCCCCTGGCCAATGGCACCTCCCTTGGCCCTGGCTGCCCCACCACCTGGAGTGGTGAAGGCTTCCCTTCCAGAACAATCCTTCCTATTCAGGTAGAAACTTTACAGCCCGAAAGCACTCATCACCAATCTAGTCTCATCCAATGTCTGCAACAGCCCAGTTTCAGATGAGGTGATTAAAGCCCATTAAAGCCCAGAGAGGTCATATAACTCTTCCAAAGTGCCACCCCTGAGTGGTGGTGACAGTGATGGGCCAGCAAGCACGCCGTGTGTCCACAGCGGCCCCCAAAACCAGTGCTCCTGGGTGGGTCAATGATCATTTTATGTAAATAGTTAAGTTTCATGTGACTGTATATTACACAGTCATATATAACCAGCACTTCAACCTCATTAATTCAATTATATCTGTGCTCAGAATGAACCTAAAATAGAGATGTTCAAGAGGATCATCTTTTAAAGTTGGAATTCACGTGGTAAGAATCCCACAGATGACTGGCTTTTAGGAAACACTGCCCAATATTATTTAATAACTACAATAATGCATGGTGTCGTGTGCTACTTTTTTTTTTTTTTTACCCCGTTTCACTGATAATGAGATGGAGCCAAGAGAACAGGAACTTGCTCAAGGCCACTCGGATGCAATGTGTGTGACTTAGCGTCCTGGGTCCCAAACACTGGGCAAGCCCGTTGCACCTGCAAGCATCGGATGGAAAGGGGGCTCCGGCCTTTGTTTCCTGCCTGTTTTCATCACAGCAGCACAAAGCTGTTGCCCGGAAGAGGGGATGGGTTAGGCCATTGTGAATTCATTTCAAACAGGGTCTCAAAACATGTTTGATGGATGAGAAAGGGCCCCATCCCGGTGGGCCTCAGAGCATGCAGAGAGGCAGGAAACAGTAGAAGTTGAACCACAGGTGGATGCCATGTGCTGAGGGGCAGTGGGTGAGGAGCCTCGGGTTGGGGGTGGTGGTCAGGACAGGGTTCCCAGAGGAAAGAGCTTTGCAGGGAGGGTTGAAGGGTGGGTGGGAGAACAGAGCAGGAAGAGCATTCCTGGTAGAGGAAACGGGCACGTGCCAAGGCTGGGAGACGGGAGGGCAGGGCAGGTTGGGAAAACCATCCATCATTTATCCCAGGATCTGGTGGCCTGGTCACAGGGAAGGTGTCAACTTAGAAAGGGGGGAGGGAGTGTGGTGTTGGCCTCCTGAAGCGTATGTTCAGCAAGGAGGTCAAGTTCCAGCCCAAACCATTTTGGCAATGAATCAGGGAGGCTGGCGGGTGTTGGGCAAGAGGACAGGTGTGCATTCGAGGCCCCCACACGCGGAGGTCTGGGACATTTCACTTCCTTTCTCAGGTTCTTGACCTGTGCAATGAGCTAGCCGACTAAAATCTCTCAGGTCGGGTGAATAGGTGTTTGCTTGGGTTCCTGGTCCGTTCAGGTAACAGCTTCTAGAGCTCCACGCTGAGAGGGATTCCCACTCCCTGACAGGCTCAGGGGCTAGTCGTGCAGGGACTGATGAGCCTGCTGTGGGTGCAGGGGTGGGGGACTGAAGAGGGGGTGCCTTGTATCTGCTATTCCTGCCTTAAGATTTTCTAGAGGCTCCAGCGTTGCTATGGCCCACGTCCAGCACAGAACATTTACACCTTGTTTGGACTCATTGAATTTATTGTGCTTGAAAGTCACCCCTCAGCATTCAGACACAGAAACTTCAGGAAGGCGGGAGCCAGGCCATTCATGAATGAATATGCTCTCCCAGCAGACAGACGCTTGCTGTAGGCTGATGGAATGATTTCTTGAAAGGTCTCTGAAGGTTGCCTACACGTACCTATTTGTGTAGTCATTCATCGTTCACTCACTTTGTCCCCCAAATTCCCTGAGCCACTACTCTCAGGCCGTGGGGATAGGGAAGGGGGTCAAGGCCCAAACACTGCCACCCACGAGCTCCTGATTACTTGGAGGGGCAGACGTGTAAACACATGAATGCACTAGGGTTGTAAGGACCATACATCGGGCTATGGTGGGACGGGAAAAGGAGTGAGGGATTCTGCCCAGCAGAGGGGAATCCAAGAAGGTACTAAAAGAGGCGACATTTATGCTGGACTCTGAGAGGAGCAGGACCCTGGGCAGGTGGAAAGCGAAGGAGGGTGGACAGGGCAAGAGGGAGTAACGTGAGCCACAGTGCCCTCTGCTGGGAAGGGGACCACACAGGCTGCAGGGTGGGCCCTGGGGACAGGTGGGGACAGGTGGGGACAGGTGGGGACAGGGGGCTCCTTTGGGAGCTTATTGCCAGCACTTCATGGAGCTTATGTGATATGTGCACAGCTTTTGTTCGTGTTCACAGTGACCCCAGACAATTTTGCAGGTGAAGGGCCTGAGGTCCACAGAAGAAAGGGGTCTTGTCCAAGGCCACTTGCTGGTAGGGGCAGCACTCAGCCTGGAGCCCATCTGCCCACACAGAAAATGCCGCCCAACAGTCATCCAGCCCCTTATGGGCCCTTGCCCCCCTTCTTCCAGTGCAGGCCCCGGCGCCCAAGGACCTCCTGATCAATACTACCAGGGACCGCTTCCTGCTGACCTGGACGGTGGCCCTTCCTGGTTCCCAGAGCCACTGGCTCTCCAACCTGGAGTATGAGGTGGTCTACAAGCGGCTGCAGGACTCCTGGGAGGTCAGGACCATGGCCAGCTCCGCCCCAAGCCAAGGGACCGGCCCAGTGGGCGCCTCTCCACTAACCCCTCTCTCCCTGCAGGAGGCCTCCACCCTCTACTTCAAGTCCTCCCAGGCCGTCCTGGCACCAGAGCACCTCATTCCCAGCAGCACCTATGTGGCCCGAGTGCGCACCCATCTGGCCCCCAGCTCAGGGCTCTCGGGGCGGCCTAGCCAGTGGAGCCCGGAGGTCTGCTGGCCCTCGCAGACAGGTAACACGGTCAAAGTTGGGGCAACGCCTTTCTGAGGGGAGGGCGGCTCGTCCAGCTCCGGGGAGTCCATTCTGCGGGATTCCACCAGTCTCCTGTGTCATGGGTTTAGAATCGCTTCCCTGGGCCAACTCCCTCCGGGCCCCGGCCTCTGCACATCTTCTGGCTAGGGGCACTTTCAATGACAATGACAGTAGCCTGATGAGCAGCTGTGTCTTCCTGAGTGTTGTGCTCCGTGGAGACGAACCAACATCACTGTATTGAGGCCCTGAGCACGGAAACGAGATGCCCTCCCCATTTTGCCCAGTGGGGTGTGAAGGGTCACGGGATTCACTCACCCAGCTGGCGGCTTCAGGCTACATTGAAGCCCGAGTTTTTCTGGGGCCCAAGCCCATGATCTCTAGGAGATGAGGCTCCCAGTAGGCCCCCTGAGAGCAAAGGAATGAATGCAGGAGGGAATGAATAAGGGACTGTCTCCCCTCCCAGGGGACAAGGCCCAGCCCCAGAACCTCCAGTGCTTCTTCGACGGGGCCGCCGTGCTTAGCTGCTCCTGGGAAGTGAGGTCCGAGGTGGCCAGCACAGTCTCCTTCACCCTCTTCTACAAGGCCAGCCCCAATGCAGGGTGAGTGTCCCCTTTCTCCCTCCCCTCCCCGCCTCAACACCTTGCCCTCTCCAGGCCTCCCCCTGACTCTGGGGGCCCCAGCGGAAGCCACGGCTCCTCCCGAGGTCACATCCCTCCCGTGGCGCCTGCCTCCTTCTGCCCTCACCTCCACCGTGATCCTCAGGGAGGAAGAGTGCTCCCCAGTGCTGAAGGAGGAGTTCCCCGGCCTCCACGTCCGACACCGATGCCAGATTCCCGTGCCCGACCCCGGGAACCACAGCCAATACACCGTCTCCCTTCGGTTGAAGGAGGAGGAGAAGTTTATAAAGAGCTCGGACCACAGTGAGTTTGCCTCCCCCCCCACCTTCGGCATGGGTGCTCCTGCAATGATCCTGTTGCGTGTGTCCCCCACATCAACTCAGGACTCCTGATGGCCGGCTCTCCTGTTTGTCGCTGTCAGCCAAACGCAGTCCAGTGAGCAAAGGGAACAAAAGTCATTTGAATCTCTTCTTGAAGTGCTCAAGAAGCAACAACAATGACAATGGCAAATAATATGAAGAAAGATTCAACTGATAATCCCCACGAACACATCTTTAAAACCTGTTTTCACCTTCCTTTAGCTCTGCTTTTCTGTTGAGCTGCTCTGTGGTCCCTCCTGCCAGCCACGCCCTGCCAGTCCTCCCATCAAACTTTCCCTTTCCTTCCCTGACTGGATTTTTCTCTCTCAGGTTCCCAAAGTCCTCCACCAAGGGATATTTTCCATCTTCAAAATAACTGATCTATGATTGACTCCTTCAATCAGGGCTAGAATACGTGCAAAGAAATTGTAATTCCTCACAGGATCATATCCCTGATTCTTCTTGTGTAGCAAGGACCCCGTGCAAAGGAACCTCCTGCATGGCTTCTCAGGGCCCCAGGCTCTTCCACCCAGTCTTGAGTGTGTGCAGGAGGCCACAGCCCATCTGTCTCTGTCACCTGGGTTGGAATCCACCAGTCACTCTGGGGGTCTGCCGGGTTGCCATTTTTTTCCACCACTTGTTAGCTGCCTTGTCCTTGGCAGGTGACTTAATCATTCTGGGGCTCAGTTTCTTCATCTGTGAACTGTAGCAAATGAACAGGACCTACCATGTAGGGGTTGCTGTTAGAATCAAGTGAAGGGATTCATGCAGACCGAGCCTGTAGGACAGTGCATACAACATAGCTAATGCTCCAGAAGAGGACCAATTATTGGTGTTTTTATTTTTACTTAAATGTGAGGAGTAACCCATGCTTTGGGTCACCTCACTGCAAAACAAGTGTATCTCAGCATCTCCCCAGAGAAGGGCTGCTCGGGGGAGTGGGGGTTCAAGGACCCCGAGATTGGCTGGACCCAGTTAGAGAGAGCACCTGTGACCAACATGGAATGAAAAGAATGTTCCATTGGAGGCATGATAGGAACAACGTTTCCTAAAGGTTTCCCTCCCTCCAGTCCAGATGGCTCAGCCGACACTCAATGTGACTAAGAGCAGAGACGGCTACACCCTGCACTGGATGGCAGAGGAGATGCTCTACAAACACATAGGTCACACCTTCCAGGTCCAGTACAAGAAAGATGCAGCCTCATGGGAGGTGAGGACCTCTGCCCCGGAAGCACAGTCTGGGGGGGGGCGGGGTGAGAAAACACACAGGAGAGCCCCAACCTGCCAGGTGCCTGGCTCCCAGCACGGGGACCAGTCAGAGGAAGCTGCTGAGACGTAGCAGTCATGACCCTGTGTGGTCGGCTGGTCACTGTCCCCTCCCTTGGTGAAGGTCTATGGCTCACAGAGGTGATGTGACATGGCCAGAATGAACTATGGGACCCCGAACTGCGAAAAGGATGCAAATGTCAGGGCTCGGAGGGCAGGGAGACAAGCCGGATGAAGGGTTTTCCAAAGTCACCGAGGGACTCTTCTTCAAAGAGGTCTTCTCTGGAATACAACTGTGCAGCCTCTCTGAGCAGAGCTGCTCCTGATAAAGCAGGCAGGGCCCCAGCCCAGGGTTCCATCTCTGGCCCACACCCCCAGATAGCCTCGGGCCCTGTGTGCAGAACCTGGGGCACCCCGTGGCCCAAGTCAGAAACCTCGGAGCCAGCCACAGACCTTCAGCCTGGAAATAGGGAAACTGAAGCCAGGAGGGGTGCGGTCAGTGGGGGAGCTAGGAGCAGGCCCCCCGAGTCCAGTCATGCTGCACAGCATTCCTGGGAAGGCCATAATTGGGGTCCAGGCTGTCCCTGAGGAGCTGGGAGGTTGGGGGGTTTGTCTCAGAGTGAGGGTGGGACATGATGTGTCTTCAGGATTTCTGGGCCTTGGTATTGTCCTAGGGCATAGGAATGTAATCCCCAGTCCCACCCAGAGTGCTCTACCTCTGCGAGCACTGGAGTAGGGCCCTCCATGGGGGCTGGGGGGACTGCCTCAGACCTGAGGATGCAGCTGCAGCTGGGGACTGATGGGACAGAAAACCCGGGGCCCTGAGGGGGGAGGGGTTTGGGGCTGTGCCCCACATACACCAGCAAGTTGCCTCAGCCTCAGCACACCTGCTCACTCACGTGTGCCCTCAGGAGAGCAAGACGGAAACCCTCCAGAACGCCCACAGCATGTCGCTGCCGCAACTGGAGACTGCTACCAGGTACCAGGCAAGAGTGAGGGTCAAGCCCACCCCCAGCGGCTACAACGGTATCTGGAGCGAGTGGAGTGAGGAGAGCTTCTGGGACACCGAGTGGGGTATGTCTCCCAGCCTCCACCCTCCCTCCCGGGTATAGCCCAGCTGGGCAGAGGACAAAGGTGATGTGGACACTGAAGTGTGACCCCACCCCACCCAAGTATCCTTTCTTCTATGTGTCACTAGTCACACGAAATGACACCTGGTGTGCAACACAGACTGCAGGTGAGGTCTTGAGAGCAGCGAAAAGCAGTCCTCACCGTCGCTCCTCCCTCAGACCGGACCTTAGCCCTCTATTAATATGGCCCATGGCTTCATTAGCCTTTGTAGCAGCCATCACCTAGTGACCACTCAGCCCGAATTTCCAGTTACAGTTATCATAGCAGCAAACATCAGGAGCTATGGACTGAGGCCTGGGACTGGAAGGGTTTGGTCTGATTTCTTTCTGATTTTTTTTTTTTTCTTTTAAGTAGGCTCCACACCCTGTGGAGTTCACGCCCATGAGATCAAGACCTGAGCCAAGATCAAGAGTCAGACACTTAACCGACTGAGCCACCCAGATGCCCCAGATTTCTTAATCTCCCTGCTTCTATACTGACCACCGGGAGACAAGTACAAGACTAGGTCCAGGAGGAGGGAGGAGTTATTAGCAGCAAGGACCCCAGCCGCAGCCAGCCTCGCAGGGGACGAGTCCCAGGAAGAGGGTTACAATCGAGTAGAAAAGAGGTCTGGACACCAGGCCTAAGAGAATAGACCAAGGGAGCCCTGGAGGGGCCCAGCCTGTGAGGGGCTTGACGTTGGGGCTCCTGATGGGCCTTTACCCCTCCTGGTTCCTCCACCAGGTTTTTCCCATCTCTACCTGTCCAAACCTCCCTGTTACTTGAAGCTCAAGCGTATGCGTTGCCTCCTACATGAAGTCCACAGTGTTTGCCCTGAGCTATAGTCCCTGAGCTAGAGTCCCCAGCCCCTCCTGCTACTGGAAAGAATCTAACCCTCGGGCGCCTGGGTGGCTCAGTTGGTTAAGCGACTGCCTTCAGCTCAGGTCATGATCCTGGAGTCCCTGGATCGAGTCCCGCATCGGGCTCCCTGCTTGGCAGGGAGTCTGCTTCTCCCTCTGACCCTCCTCCCTCTCACGCTCTCTGTCTCTCATTCTCTCTGTCTCAAATAAATAAATAAAAATCTTTAAAAAAAAAAAAAAGAATCTAACCCTCTGTGTCTTTCCTGATGTGGGGAACAAAGGCAAAAGAAACGTAGACAAAATTAAATTTTCTTATAACCTGCAGTCTTTACCTCCCCCAACTCCAAAGTGTATAATCAGTCACTGCTCACAATCCCTGGGCAGCCCTTCCTCCCATGGGTCCTGTCCCTGTGCTATAATAAAAACATCTTTTGGGGCGCCTGGGTGGCTCAGTCGGTTAAGCGACTGCCTTCGGCTCAGGTCATGATCTCAGGGTCCTGAGATCGAGCCGCGCATCGGGCTCCCTGCTCGGCGGGGAGCCTGCTTCTCCCTCTCCCACTCCCCCTGCTTGTGTTCCCTCTCTCACTGTCTCTCTCTCTGTCAAACAAATAAATAAAGTCTTTAAAAAAAAAAACAACAACAACATCTTTTTGCATCAAAGACATCTCAAGAACTCTTTCTTGGCCTTTGGCTCCGATACTCCAGTATCTGCACATCACTTCCCAGCGTTTAAACCTTGTGTTGCGGGGGAGGGGTGGAGGTCAGGCCATTTCCCTGTCCTTCTTAGCCCGTGTCTGGCCTTCCCCCCACTCTGCACCTCAAGACAGTGAGCTGCTTCTGGAACACCACAGCAGCACAGAGCAGGGTCTGGGGACTCTGCCCCGGCCTCGCCTCCTCCCCCTCCTAAGCCTCCAGCTCTGCCACCACCCCCACCAACCCCCCCCACCCCCCACATTAGCCAGACGCTAATGCTCTTTTTTTTCCTTCCTGGCACCCGCAGTGCTACCCATGTGGGTCCTGATGCTCATCCTGGTCTTCACCACTCTGGCGTTGCTCCCCGCCCTGCGCTTCTGTGGCATGTATGGGTACAGGTGAGGGGACTCCGTGACGGGTGGGGGTGCCCAGGCCCCCACACTGGCTCCCTCGAGTCCCTGCTCTGCCCCTTCCTCCCCGGGAGCCTTGGACAAATCTCGCCTTCGCCCTGGGCCTCAGTCTCCTCTCAGCACAGGAGTGCGGGGCAGCTTCCCTGAGGTCCCTGGCAACTATACCTCCCTGGTATCTTTCTAGGCTGAACCGGAAGTGGGAGGAGAAAATCCCCAACCCCAGCAAGAGCCACCTGTTCCAGGTAAGATCTAGCTGTCAAGGCGGCTGGGGTGGTAGGGGCTCCTCACTCCTGTGCCCATGTCCCCGTCCCTATGTCTCCCCCGCTTTCCTGTGGCTTTGAGCGCGAAGCCTAGGTGGCCCGGGAAGGTGCCAGGAAACTCTAAGAGGCGGGCCGGCAGCAGCAAGCTCAACTCTGCCATCATCTGGGCACCTGCAGACGCACAGGGCTGGCCCTGCCTGCAGGGCTCCCGTGGAGCAGGGGTGGAGTGGAACAGGGGGCCTGCTAGGAGTCGGGGGCGGGGGGCGGCCCTCAGGGGGAGGTTCAGTTCTGCAGGGGCCGGTGGGCTGACGGGAGGCCGAGTGGCTTCCCCGAGGACAGGACATCGGAGTTGAGCTTTGGAGGATCCAGGGTGGTGCCAGGTGGGAGAGGCCTACAGAGGGTGGACACAGGACCCCTTCGTAAAGGGGACTGAGAGGGGCGGGCAGTGAGGCTGGGCGCACATCCCGGATGCTGAGATGGTCACAAGGTGGGTGTCGCCGGCATGTGGGTCACGGGGACCTTTCGGTCACGCACGGCCAGCTTGCCTGTGGAGGGGTCTTGTGGCTACTAGGGTGTGGGTGTGGGGGCAGTGGCACCCCAGATTTGTGGCCTCGCGAGAAGAAGGTCCCCATCCCCGGGTGCTCGAGGGCCCACGGCAAATCCCAGCCCCTCTCTGGGCCTCTCCTTCCTGGTGTCAGGAGGCCGGGGCTGGTCCTGACCTTGCTGAGACCCTTCTATGTCTGGGGGCTCGCTGCATCCCCTGTGAGTCCTCACCGCCCCCTTCAGTTTCTCGAGGGCCCACGCACCCACAGCACAAACGTCCCTTCTCTTCCCAGAACGGGAGTGCCGGGCTCCAGGTCCCAGGCAGCGTATCGGTGCTCATCAGCAGGAGCCCCCCACACAAGGAGCTGCAAGGCAGCTTCTTCCCTGAGCTGGATGGGTGAGTGTCCGGGCACGGGATCCCTAGGAGGCGGGAGGGTGGCCCCATCACACACGCTGAAGGCTCAGAGGAAGTGGCCTCTGGCCTGTGGCTCAGGATAGAGAGATCCATGGAGGCTGGTTGCTCTAAAGCCTAGGTTGGGTGTCAGGAGGAACTTCCTGATTCCCGAGTTAGGGAGGGCCCTACCTTGGACTTGACCCGAGGCAGAAGACTGGAGCAGATGACCTCTCCCTGCCCTGCTGCCCAGGAAGACTCCACACTGGGGTGCTGATGACGTGGGTGGGGTGGGGGGAATGAAGGGACGAGGGCATGACTGGGCATGCGTGGGCTGGGCATCCACCCGGTCCCTGAAGCTGGGCGGATGAAGGAGCACGGGGTGAGAGGAGCCACACCTGGTAGAGGAAGACCTTGAACAAGAGCATGGAGGCTGGCGGGCGAGACCCGTGGGGGACTGAAGGCCCGTGCCCTGTCCTCTCTGGGCTTGCTTCCTGATCTTGCCCTGCCCTGTGCCCTCCGTGAGCTCTGGGTGGGGCCGGGCCTCCCCCCCACCTCCCCACCACCATCCAGCCCCAGCATGAGCTGAAGTGGCCCCAATGTCCCTGTGCCCGTTCTCCCCCCAGCATGTTCCCTGTAGACTACAGACACAACGAGGTGTCGCCTCTCACCATGGAGGATCCGAAAGATGCCCGTGAATCACCATCGGAGCCTGACACAACTCCAGCCTCCTTGGACCTGTACTCGGAGCAGGCCCACGGCCCCCAGCCAGGCCTGTCAGCCCCGGCAGGCAGGCCCGAGAGCCAGGCTTCCGGCTTCCACTTCAATGGCCCCTACCTGGGGCTCCCCCACAGCCACTCCCTGCCTGACGTGCTGGGCCAGCCGGCGCCCCCACAGGCAGGCGTGAGCCAGAAGCCGCAGTCTCCGGGGTCCCTGGAGTACCTGTGTCTGCCGGCGGGGGGGCAGGTGCAGCTGGTCCCACTGGCCCAGGTGATGGCACAGGGCCAGGCCAAGGATCTGGAGAGAACCCCTGGCCCGGGCGCAGAGGGGAACCCCTCCCTGGAGTCAGGGGGAGGCCTTGCCCCTTCTGCACCTGGGCTGATGGTAGACGGTCAAGGCCCAAAGAACAGCCCCAGCCCGAAGGACGGGGCCCTCACAGCTCAGCCCGCTGGCTCCGGGGGCCCTGAGGATGGCTTCCTGGCCTCTGGCTACATCACCACTACAGACCTAGCTCTCCCCTTGCCCACGGGGCTGCCTTCTGTCTCCACAGTTCACCCTCCGCACCTGCCCTCAGACCAGAACCACAGCCTCGATCTTGGAGTGGTTGGCGGGCCCCATGCAGGCCCAGCCCCCAGCAAGCCAGAAATTGAGGGCTATGTGGATGTCCCTCCAACCCCAGGCCAGTCTCCCAAGTCCCCTTTGGGCAGTCCTGCCCCTCCTACAGCCAGCAGCCCCATCCTAAGCCTGGGGGAGCCCAGAGCAGAGGGGGCCCCTGCCTCCCCACACCCCGAGGGGCTCCTGGTCCTGCAGCAAGTGGGTGACTACTGCTTCCTCCCTGGTCTGGGCTCTGGCCCTCTCTCACCCCAGACGAAGCCCTCTTCCCCAGGACCCTGTCCTGAGATCGGGGACCCTGACCAGGTGTTCCAGGCCAAGAAGGCCCTGGGCCAGGCCATTCCCCAGATGCCAGCCATCCGGCACTTCAAGGCCCTCAAGCAGCAGGACTACCTGTCACTGCCCCCCTGGGATGTTGGCAGGCCTGAGGAGGTGTGCTGACACCCTCCAGCTCCTAGGCACATGAGTGGGAGGAGGTCTACCTCCCCTCCCACCGTTGGACCAGATGGAGGTGGGGAAGTAAGTGGGCCTCCTCCCTTCTTACTGGACCTTCAGCCAATCGATTCTCCTCTCCCCACTGCCTCCCTCTCTCTCACAGATAGACAGATGGACACAGACACACGCACATTTTTCTTTCACATTAACTTACTTTTAGGTTCTAAATTATTAGAGCTTCCTGTATACTCATTGTATTTGCCCCTGGTTTTTGGGTTTTTGGGGTTTTGTGTTTTGTTTTGTTTTGTTTTGTTGTGTTGTGTTTTGTTTTGTTTTGTTGTGTTGTGTTTTGTTTTTTACCAGATTTCCTTGCTTTCACCACTGTCTTCTTTCTCTTCCACTGATGTACTAGTGAGTTTGAGGTCTGAGCTAAGCCCATTCTGAGATGTGTCTCGGTCAGAGCCTGTTCTGATGCCCACGTGTCTGGTTATGTTGAGGACTTGGGTCTGTGGCCTGGCCCCAGCAGGCGCGGACGCTGCCCCAGTGTGGAGGGAAGCAGGAGGCCCCCTGGCCGCGACCTGGACGGGGAAGGCTCGGGAGAGCAGTGCAGGACCCACTTGCTGGTGGCAGGCCCTGCAGCCCCAGGTGCGGTGGCAAAGCCCCAGCATGATGGGTGCTCCAAGCACTGGGCGTGGTAAGCGGCGTGCAAGAGAACTATGCTGAGCTCACGGAAGGCCCCGCCGGGGCCTGGAGAGGTAGCGATGGCTGGCCTGAGAGATCGCTGTGCATGCTGCCCGTGGGCTACAGTGACCTGCCTTCTATGTCCCGGCCGGTGGGGCCTGCCAAAGCTGGGACTCGGAGGGGCGTCCAGAAACCACGTGCACTCCAGAAATGTTGGGAACAACCGTTCAACAAAGAAAAAAAGGAAAACAATCAAAGGCCTGGACCCTTTGGGGCTTTATAATCCGAGTCACACTGCTGCCCTCCCTCCAGAAAGAACTTAACAGCTCCCACCTCTCCCGGCCACGGCCCAGGGGCTTTGGATCTATGTCTGGGTCTACACAGAGGATTATGGTTTCTTAAAATCTGTGCCTTTCAGATATGCAAAAAAAAAAAAAGGCATTAAATCATTTTAATTTGCATTATTTGATAACTATCAAGATTGCACGCATTTTTTTATTTCCTGGGCATTTGTATTTTTTGACCGGGCTAAGCCCATTAGGGACTTTGTTCTCTGGGGTGTTCATCTTTTCCCAATTAAGTTTTTAAAACTGTTTACATGCAGTCTTTCATGGATGGTGCATGTTTTCCCCCTAGTTTGTAGTTTGTCTTTGAATTTTGTATCTGAGGCTTGTAGACCTACACAATGTAGGCTTCTCTGCATGTTGAGATTTGCCGGCTCCGCTTTTGGTGTCCAATTTACAAAGGCCTTCCCCCGCCTTTGAAACTATTTGGGGGTGGGGGGTGCGGAAGGGATTATAAACAATATAAATATTCACAAATAGTGACATGTTACAATAATAACACTTTAGGCTACTCTAAAGTACAATCCTGTGTTACGGAGGAGCAGGTAGTCCTACATGGATTAGAAAAAAGTCCAAGGGAATGAATTCCAAAATGTTCAGACATGGTTAGCTGAAAAAAATTGCAATAAAATATTTTTATTGTACAAAACCCAAACCCTAAACTTGTGTCTCTTTGTGTTGGAATAGCAGGGGAGGGGTGTGGTTTGAAACCGCAGTTGCATTAAGGAGGATGAATTCTGTGAAACAGAAGGGCCTGTAGGTCTTTGAGGCTCCAAGGCGGGCTTAGGGACAGTGTAGACGAGATCAGAAATGCAGTGCCAGCAGAGTGAGAAGCAGGTGGAGGTCCTGGGGACAACCCCAGGCGGAGCTGGGCTGTAAGCCAGGACCTCCTCGCCCCAGAATTGTTGCGAGCCTACCCTGAGGGGAGGGACCTCCTGGAGACTTGCCCTAATAAACTCTGTGAGGGGTCGATTCCAGGTGCAATCCATTCCCGCTCTAGAGTGGTTGAATCTTGAACCCAGCCTCATCCCCCTCCCACTTGCCTGGTTGACTTACTGTGTTTCTCCCAGTTTCTTTCTGAGAAAGAGCAGTCCTGGTTTCAGTGGGACTGGGCTCGGGAGGGGAGCTTCCCATATCAGAATATGGAGCATCCCTGGTAGATTATGAAATGTCAGGAAGGGGAACCGGATGTAAAGGGGGAAAGGACTGTGTGTTTGAACCCTTAGGCTGCAGACAGAGAACAATACCCCGCAGGAAAGCCAACTCAGGGTGGTCTCCTTATCGTTGGGCGGGTGTGTAGAGGTGAGTGCACGTGGATTCACAGCTAATGAGCTCACAACAAATGCTGGGCCAAACGGAGGATGGTTGGAAACAGGACCTGAGGAGTCGCAGGAAGTGGCCGCGTTCTCTTCCCTGGGCCCCAGGGCAGGAACGTGAGCCTGGGCCGATGAGTGGCTGCCTTTGTCCAGAAAGCTCTCATAGACACTAGAGCTCAGCTTAGAGCTCCAACCTTGACTGAGCCTCTACTTGGCTGTGTCACCTTTGGGGGCCACTTGCCATCCCTGAGCCTCACTGTGAGGCCTCCCCAGCTGTAAAGCTCAGGTTCCAGATAGCGTCTGCCAACCCGTGCCCTGAGCCTGGCTCCCCCCAGGCCCCAAGTTTCCCTCTTGCCCCTCATCACTCGGCTGATGTCCCCACAAGCAGAGCTCAGGGCCCCGAGGACAACCAGGGCCCAAGTCAACCATCACCAGCTTAGAACAAGCAATGTAATTCAGGTCAAAGTTTCTAGCAATATGTTTCTAGAAGGAACTCCGCACTCAGGATTAGTGGCTTAGGTATATCCCGAAAGCCTCATCTACAACCCCCGGGGCTGTCATTTCTACAAGCATGTTGTTGAAATTTTAGTCTCTGAAGACTCAAAACTACGAGGAGTGGCATCCTAAGGCATTTGCATCGGGTGGGCTGTATCGAGGTTAGAAGAATTAGTACAAAGGGTTGCCTGGAATGACTTGCTGATCTGTAATCCCTGCTCCCTTTCCTTCCCGCTTCCCCCCTTCACCACATCTGCCTCAAAGACACTTGCTCACGGAGGCTCTGCTGGGAACTTTGTCCTCTGTGAAATCTGGGCCTGGCAAAGTTGGCATTTTGCTTCTAATTTACTCTCCCAAGGTATGAACAATTCTTAACCAGGCCTTTGCCTGAAGGATCAATGGCCTAAAAGGCATTAAACCACCCAGAAATGAAACAGAATTCTTAAAGAGATTCTGTTCTGCGTGAGGAAGGCTAATACCCTCAAATTTCTGCAGAGATTAGAATTGTAATAGAATTAAATCTCGACTTTCTGCCTTTTACTGTTATGTACATTTAATAGGCTTGGTCTGTGATAGTCTTCCTGAAATTATCAAGCAAACACACTGTCTTGATATTTGTACCAACCATCCATCTATGTCCCTATTTAACTTTTAAAGCTCGTAATTACAGTTTTCTTCATAAAATTAATAGCTTTCACCATCCTTAATTAGTGCAGCATTTTGCTCTCGAAATAATAAATATATATTTATACTTCAACTGCCTGATTCAGTTTTAGCATGAGAAGTATGTAAGCAAATACATTGCAGGAGGAGAAAAGAGAAGCTGGTGGGTACATATAGGTGATAAAAGGCAAAGTATGCGTAGTGTTCAGAGACACACAGTGGCTGATGCAGCAGAAGGACATTCGGGGAGGTGGTAGATGCCGCCCTAGGAGTCAGGGTATTGGTTTGGAGGCGCTGGGAGGCTAGCCTGGGAGCAGTGCGTGGAGGGCTCTGCATGGCTGGTGAGGATCTCTCTCCTGTCCTGGGAGAGGCAATTAAAAGCTTAATAATAATAATTTATTAAGCTAAACTGTTTCACGTGGGTTTGGGTACTTGTGTTACAAAAACAGCTTGTAAAAAAGGATCCAGTGCCCGTCTGGAAATAAGGAACACTAAATGCTGGGACATACTACATCACATCAAAAGTCCTTTTATAAATTCCTCGTCCACCTGCCCGTATCTCTTTATACTTTTCCCCTTTGGCTCCTGGCCCTGGCGCACCTCTGCTCGAGTTTCAGCCCATCCCGCGGGGGTCATTGCTCATGGGAGAAACTTGTCCTCTCTCTCCTCCTGCCCCTTCCCAGCCTGAGTGCCCAGGGCCCCCCGGCGCCCCTCTGCTCTAGCTCCCACCACACAGAGCTGAAATTCTCTGTCCACTCGTCTGTCTCCCGTTCTGCTGTGAGCATCTGGGGAACAGGAGCCCAGCATACTGCCAGACACCCAGCAGACATCTGGTAAATTAGATTTCACGTTCCTCTCTGTACCAATTACATCTCAGGCTCCATTCATGATTTCCCATGATTATTCAGGGATGGCAATATATCTAAAATTTCAGAATTTTAATCGTCGGAAAAGGTTGTTTCTGGCCGAAGGTCTCGCAGTATGAACTCTCCAGAGTGACCCACCTCCTGTGCGTTTTCTCTAGGGAACAAGATTTCAGGGGATTCTCATTTTCCTTTTTGGTGAAACGTCATCTTGTCATTTTCCCATAATCAATTCCCATTTATGTAATAAAGGAATAAAGGAGAATGTTCATTTAGGATCATTTTTTCTCTTTTCCTTAGCATTCACTGAGCAGTTAAAAAAAAAAAAACACCGAAGACATTTTCACTGCAAGCGTCTATCTCGAAAGAATGCCGTGGCCAGCTGCTTCCAAAGACGATGGCCACCGTCCCTCCCACCCGCATGCCCCTCTATGCTGTGACTTTGTGGCGCCTCTTCTTCACAGGTGGGAATGATTTCTCCTCCCCTTGGACTTGGGTCAGCCAGCAGGGTGCGGCCGAGTGAGGTGTGGGACCTCTGGGGCAGGCCGGCGAGGGCTAGAGCTTGTGGGCTCCCAGTCAGCCTGTGGGTGAAGCCGCGGGGCTGTCGGGTGTCAAGGCCTCGTGCAGACAGACACCCTGGAGGATGAGCGGCCCCCACGGAGGGGAGGGAGGCGGCCCGGTGACACTAGTGTGTCCGTCCCTGGCATTCCAGCCGCAGCCTGGCTCCCAGCTAACTGCTGCTACGTGGATGACCCCCCCTGGCTTCATGGAGCAGAACCACCCATGGAATGGGGACACCCTAATCAGTGCCTGCTCTTTTCAGCCACACATGTGGGTGGTTTGATCCAGGGCAATGGGTCCCCGGTTCTTCAGACACATTGCTTTGCCGGGTAGATGCGGCGTCAGCTCCTGGGGGTGGGAGTGGCGGTGGGGGTGGGGGGCGGTCATGTGATGGGTCACACC